TTAGGAAGGAAAAGTGCTTCATGATTCAGTGGGTGCAAGAGCCTGTTGACTCACCAATGTCACAAGTTTCCAATAAGTCACATTTTAAATATCAATTTTTTTATGTTTGTGAACATCTTATCCTAGATCATAGATCTCTTAAATTTTAGATTAAAAAATCCTTTTTTAGGATGATTTAAGAGGGGGCCCACATATGTATAGTATGAGTCGATTGAGTCATAGAAACCCCATCCAATTAGCAGTGACGCTTGATAGAATCTATTCAAATATGGAAAAAACTGTGTTTCTATGTGAGCCCTCCTCTCTTTGTACGCAGAGAAGGGAACTGAAGTCAATCTAGAATTTCACAGTGGGTTACACTCCAAGGAATAAGGCTTCATAACCAACTAAACTTAACGACCAAGAGAAAAGATATGGCAATTGTCAAATCATTTATTAAAAAATATGCGAAGTGTTGAAGTCATTAATTAATAAAGAGATTGTGTTTTGTGTAGGGTAATTTTAGCACCTGAGATGGACCTCACTATTTCAAAAAGTGCGGCATTTCCCACATGGTCAAAGGATAACAACATGGGGGATACTGTAGAGTCCATGGAGCAAGATCCCTTGCTTGCAACCCCACCCCCCAATAAGTTCCCAAATCTCGAAAACAGGGAACATGCGTCGTCGTCCAAGGGATCTGAAATAGAGGAACCACGTGTAGGAATGAAATTCGGTGATGGAAATAATACATAGGAGTTTTACAAGGCTTATGCATTGGTGGAAGGGTTTGGTGTCAAAAAGGAAAGTACTCACAAGAATAAGGATGAAAAGAGAATTGATAGGGACTATAAACGTTCTAAGGAAGGATTCCGTACAGTGAAACAAGTGCAACCTCAAAAAAATTTTCCTCAGACAAGGTGTGGATGTGCAGTGAAGATGTGCGTAAGTATAAATGCCAACTATGAGTGGGCTGTCACAAGAGTTGTTAAGGATTACAATCACGACCTTGTATCTCCAAGGAAAGCTCGACTCATTCAATCGCACCGAACAATATTAGATACGACAAAAACAATGATAAACTCCATGAGCTTTGCTTTCGTAAAATCTCGAACTATCTATGATATCTTTTTAGAACAAGCTGGAGGGATTGATAATCTCCTTTGCTCATAAAAAGACATCGAAAATCAATTAGGAAGCAAGAGAAGAAAATTCAAAAGGGAAGATGGCAATCGTGCGATGGAATGGTTAATCGATATGAAGAGAGCCAAACCATCTTTTTTCTATAAAGTGAAATTAGATGAAGAAGATCACATTGTCAGCCTACTATGGGTAGATGTCATGTCAAGGGTGTTCTACCATCACTTCTCGGATGTGGTCACTTTTGTTACCACATATAAGACAAATTCTTTTTCCATGCCCTTTGCTCCCATACTTGAAGTGAATCACCACTTTAGTACAATATTGTTTGGGCTTGCCCTTATATTTGATGAGAAAGTGGAGTCTTTTGCATGGGTATTTGAAAATTGGCTAGAGGCAATGGGTGGACGTCAACCTGGAGTAATTATCACCGATCAGGATCCTGCAATGACTAATGCAATGAGACAAGTTATGAATAAAAGAAGACATCATTATTGTAAGTAGCACATACTTTCAAAGGTCAAAGAGAAATTGGGCCATGTCTTGTGACGGAGTCCATCTTTTTTAGAAATATTCAGAAACTGTATAATGAGCCAAACTGATGAACACTTTGAGTGAAAATGGAAATCTCCTATTGAAAAATATGATCTTCAATAGAATGAATGGCTCAATAGATTGTATAGATGTCGAAAGCAATGGATTGATGATTACGTGGCAGATGCATTTACAACAGGTATGTCATCGACTTAGAGAAGCGAAAAAATGAATAAGCACTTCAAAAAAGTCCGTGGCTTCCAATACAAGCTTGCGCACATTGTTGGAAACTACTATAAAAGTGCATGATAAAAAACTTCTTAAGATGAGAGAAAATGACTTAAAGAACATGACATCCACGCATTTTCTGAGTATCGCGTGTGACATCAAGGCTCACGTATCGAAGATATGTTATGAAGTTATTTGGAGAAGAAGTTGCAGAAGACGTCAATTACATGAGTGAAATTATTGAAGACAATGTCACAGTTGCAATTTTCAAGGTATCAAAACGTGGAAGCAGAAAAAGGGTCTGCAATGTAGAGGTCAATGGTCACGACCAAACTTTTGTTTATACTTGCCACGTGTATGAGAGGCTAGGCATTATTTGTAGGCATGGGATTAGGGTCTTGATGGTGAATAATATTTTTGAAATCCCATCGCATTACATAATGAAGAGGTGGACAAAAGATGTGATGAAAGGTGCTGTACTTGATGCAAATGGGAAACAAATTCAAAGTACTTCTGTTCTACCCCGTTCAATTTTTTTTAATGAGGTTTGTCAAGCCACTAGAGAATTAGCAGAGCATGCTTTAGAAAGTGTAGAACTATATGCATTTATAATGTCTGAAATATCAAGTACACTTTCAAAAGTTAAGGCCAAGATTGGGGGTGTGGTATTACCAAATGGTGCCTTGTAGCAGTCATAATGAGAATATGATTTCCGGCAATAGCAACCGTGCTGAGGTTGAGGGACATGCATGCTTTAATATCCTTGAGCCCCCTCGAGCACGAACAAAGGGGAGACCTTCCAATGATAGATATGTATGTCGGGCTGAGATAGAGGCAAAGAGAGTGAAAAATGAGATAGAAGGAAGTTACCCAAAAGTGCGTAATTTGCAAAGGGAGTGGACATGACAAAAGGAATTGTCCATCTCTTGCACGTTCACATATGAATGAACTATTGCTCCATTTCTCGTACTCTATGTGATTTTAATATGAATTCCTTAAATATAAATATTTGAAATGGGTTTTCTTCGTTTAGGTCAATGTAAATAGAAGATGTACGGATGGGTCAAGTGAGAATATGGAACATGATGAGTAATGGTAAGAAGTTTTAGATGCATTGTAATCAGTAAACTAGTATTTTTTTTACATTGAATTTTAATTGTAAGAAGTTTGTTTGCATTGAAATTCTTATGCTTGTGTGGTTGTATCCATGTCAATGACAATGTAGGTAAATGATATATCTTATACCTGTGTGGATGCAATGGGTGATGTTTTTTCGTATCAAAAGTTGGCAGGTAAATAATATTTCTTATCGTGTAGTTTTTATTCATAACTTCACATTTTTTAAGCATTGTGGTACTTTTATCCGTGCTTGTATTACTTACTGATGGTCTTATAGTTGCAGACAACGATTGATGGAGGACTTCACATTATACTAGATGTTTCCAAGTCAGAATACCTCCGATGAACATTACCTTGTTTCATGGTTTTTACTTGCACGTCCATCCACATTAAATAGTGGTGGTGGTAGATTAGGTTAGAAGGTAGTGAGGTGAATATTTTAATTATTTATAAACTTAATACTATGCCTTTTGGAGGGTGTTCTTTTTGGAGGTATTTGACATGTTTTTCTCTTATGGGACCACGTATCTTTTACTTTTTGTCGATATCTTCGAACTTTGGCAGAGTGAAATTGGTTTGTGTTAAGTTCATTGGTAGTGCGAAATTGGTTTGTGGTGCGTTCATTGATCGTATAAATTTGTTTTCTTGGGGCTATCTTGTTATCTTGGGGCAATGCCTAATTGGGTTTGGAATTCATGGCAGGTTTTGTATGATATATGGGATGAAAAGCCAGAACTATGGCAGCACAAACAACTTTTGCCTCATATACCTGTTTCACAGGGACATTATGAGTACATATCATGGTTTTATCATTGCTGTTGTTATCGATATTTGTATGTGATTACACCTTTTTTCTCTTTCTATACATAATACTACTCGTTTCTTGTATTCTGGGTTTTTGCTTTCCTAATATTTAGTTCCTTTTATGGATCTCTTGATGGAATTGCGGTGGGTTTTTACCTTTAGGACTCTCTCTCTACATGGCATTTTGCCATCCTTGTCCCTCCCTCTTGTTCTCCCCTCTACTTCGAACATGAGAGACCTAGTTCCAGTTGCTCTTACTACGTGTTTCTTTTTACATTAATCAGTTGACTGCAAAGGGCTTTCATGGCAGCAAAACTTTAAGAACTGCAAAGCTGAAATGGGTTTCTGGTCTCAAAAATGGTGGGCACCCTGTTATGGCAACTTTATCAGCTAAGAGCTAACACAACACTCATCTCAGGACACATTTACTTGGGTTGTGGCTCAATTTGTGAATTTTTTATTTTTTTGTAGATAGAGTGGGATTTTTTGTTGTTGGTTAAAATATGAGAAAAAACATGTTTAAATAATCTTTTCGTGCAAGATGTTTGCATATGTAAATTTTTTTCATGTATATATTTTCCTGTTAACATATGGAGCGAAATGAGTATAATATGTATGCTAAAATAACTTGGTGTTGAGTACCACACTCTGAGAAGGTTGGGACGTCCAAAGCACATGAAAGCGAAGCTACGCACAAGGCAAGTACTTCATCGTTTTAAAGACGATTTAGACAACGGACATATAGTAATGCTAAGACTCTTCGCAAAGCAAGCGAAGAGGATGAGACGAGGCGATGCATGTGAGTGCGAGTGTGAAAAAACTATAGGGTATAAAAGCAAACTAAGTAAATGTAGGCCTCTTCGTCATGTATCATTTTCTCAAAAGAATTTCTATCTTGCAATATCCACCAGTTTAACCTCACGTTCTACTCTTAGAAAATCTGTTCTTTTACATGGGGGACCTTTAAATGCGTAATTTTTGGTTTCAATGCAATGCTTTGGGTTGAAAACCCTGCTTCTGAAAGAATGGAACGCTTAAATGTCCAATGGCATAACCATTTTCTTACTTTCAACTACAACATGAACTATAATAGGAGAATGAAATAAATTTCATAATGCGAATAATTACATTAGTAAAAAGGTAATGTTAAAAAACTCACATGTTTCGAATAAAGACTACAAAAATAAAAACATGAGTGCAAGCAAACACAAATTTATTATATACAAGAAATACAATAATTGTTGTAAACGCTCAAAGGCACTGAGTAAGAATTATTGCAAGCGTCCTATAGCATCGAGTATCGTATCATGAACGACACTTGTTTTTTGATTGACCATGATACTTTCTTGTAAATCATGCATTGAATTCCACTGTTGTGTATTGCGATGCCTTAAATTGACATTTTGTATAGCTGTAACATATTCATCACACTATTGGAAGAGCCCACATAGTAGACACTCATAGTACATCTTGTTTGGGTTATTTGGGGTTGCCGAGGCTTTCGTAGCACAATCTATATTGCATTTAGGGTATTGTCAAGATGTACATCCTTGATTACTTGTAGAATCACATGACATTGTTAGGGCCTATAATAAAAATGCAAAGATCATGACAAATTGCAAATGCAGAACTAAATATGAAAATATTTATTGACTTCACTATGTATATAGCATTGTGTATAGCAAATGCAAAGCTAAAGAGAATGAATGGATAAATAACACATGCCTTGAAATATCATAGCCAAAAATAAAATTAAAAACGAGATTAAGACTTAGGACAGAATTCTAAGTACATACATAACCAACTTCCTTAAGATTAAATAAAATTTATGCAATATGTGAGTGTATTCCATGAACCGTGCATCAAATAAGAAACAGTCATACTGGGAATTTTAATACTACTAAAAGAATTCAAAAACATTGGCAAAGAGTTTCCATGAAATCCAAAGAATGTCCCGGTATTATTCACCAAAGTGACAATCAAATGTCAACAAGTCAAGAGAAATAGGGATCAAAACCCAGTAAAAGTCTCTTTTGGGAACTTGTTAAACAAATTCATGAAGACTTGGATTTGGCTCAGGACTCAAACCTGGTCCAGAACCCAGTTGGCTCAATAACAATCAGTAAGACCCAACTGTTTTCAAAAGAAACACAAAAACTGGGTTGATAACATTATCCAATTTCAAAGCAGATCTTCCCAACCTTACTACTACATCTTTTAAGTGTGTTAGAGAAAACAAATCTAGATGGAGATTTTGCAGACGGAGAACGGTGATGGCAAAGCAAAAGAAAATATTGGAAAGTTTGTAGATAGTTTGGAGAGAGAGAATGGTGAAGAAATATGCGTAAAGAAATCATAGTTAATTTAGAAGACGAAGAAATAATGAAATCCATAACCATATAAACCTAAATCCTTCACAATCAAATTAATCGAAATCAGAGTATAGTTAATTTACAAGACGAAGAAATAATGAAATCCATAAAAAAAATTTAAACCTAAATTCCCAAATTTGCTGGTGTACCTGATTTTGGGCTTCACAATCAAATTAATCGAAATCAGAGCATAGTTAATTTAGAAGACGAAGAAATAATTAAATCCATGATAAAATTTTAAACCTAAATCCCCAAAAATTGCTACTGATGTACCTAATTTTGGGCTTCACAATCAAATTAATCGAAATCAGAGCATAGTTAATTTAGGAGACGAAGAAATAATGAAATCCATAAAAATTTTAAACCTAAATCCCCAAAATTTGCTACTGCTGTACCTGATTTTGGGCTTCACAATCAAATTATTCAAAATCAGAGCATAGTTAATTTACAAGACATAGAGATGGTAGATATTTGCTACTGCATTTTCTCTCTCTCTCTCTATATATATATGTATATATAGCTCAGAAACATTGCAGCACCCTAAACTCAAGAAAAACTAGATTCAACCATAGCTTAGAAAAATTGCAGCACCCTAAACTCAAGAAAAACGAGATTCAACCATAGCTTAGATAAATTGCACCACCCTAAACTCAAGGAAAACTACAATCAACCATGCCAAAAGCAAATGGAAGGAGAGGGATCTCGTACCTTGCTGATAATGGTTGATTACAATAGTAGCACGTGATGAAAAAGAGCGAGTCACCAAGCTTAGGGTTGCTAATCGCGTGCAGGGAGAGTGAGAGTTTAGGGTTCATGGGAGAGAGAGGGGCAGGGTGTTGCTGCTCGTGGGTTCACGGGAGAGAGAGGGACCTGGTGCTACTGATCGCATGCAGGGTGGACGAGGGAGAGAGAGGGAGAGCGAGGGACCCTAGAGAGAGAGTTCGCTGCACGAGGTGTCAGTGATTCAGAAGGCATCACGTTCGTAGGAAAGTATGAATTAATCACAACCATTCGGCTCACAGGTTTTCTATAGGCGACCCTGGTCACCAAATATTATATATATATATATATATATAAATATAAATATATATAAAGAAAAGATGAGATTAATCCACTAGCTCATATGAATATATGAATCCAACAGTTCAGATTCAATCTGGACCGATCTAACAATCATGGATGTTATGTAGTATTTGAATTTGAATTGTTGTTTTTTACAAATCCAAATTACTTGAAATTTTGGATGTGTGTTCTTCTCATCAAGGTGCATCTGATAAAAATATAAAAAAAATTATCCGTAAAAAATAAAATGATCAAAATACCCTCCAAAATTTTTCAAGGTATTTTTGTCAATTTATTTCATATAAAATATTTGTTTGATATTTTTTAAATATTCACATATTTTTTATGAATACACATCTAAAATTTCAGGCGATTTGGATTTGTAGAAAAAAAACTAAAAGTCAAATACTACAGGACATTTGTGATCATCAGATCGGCCCAGAATCAATCTGGGACGTTAGGCTCATGAGCTAGTGGGCTAATCCCATATTTTCCCATATATATATATATATATATATATATATATATATTGTTTACTCTTCGATCTTTGCCGATCTTTAGAATGAGATCAGCTCAAATCTTAATAAACACTGTGTTACTTTTGAAAAGGTAAAAAGAGTGGGGTCGCTTGAATTATGAGTTCAGAAAAATCTCAAATCTATACATATCCGGTCTTTTTTGGAATCCACTGGCAGCGTCAGCCCCAAAGCCATATTTTGATCTAAAAATGCTTCTAAATTTAATCAAATATAATAATAATAATAATTTAATTTTCAGAAAAAATAAATTAAAACAGTGAATTAAATGAAGAAAAACAAATTATTTTAATAAAAAAAAGGTGATACTTACCTTTAAGGACCCGAAAATTGGAGTTTCAGGCTTGGATCAGGTCGCTCTTCTGATTTGCACCACCATCTCCTTTTTGGATGCCTTTGCTTGCTGAAATTGGTAGATCTAAGGTTCTTTGACATAGATCTAGGGTTTCTAAGGCGGAAACAAAAGCTCAGAATTTTAGGTAGGGTCTACCTAGGATTTTCTCAAGATTAAAGGAGAATTTCCTTAGTTTTCTAAGGCTTTTGGGATCTCCAGAGGTTGAATATGAATTTTGGGATTTTATCTAATTTTTTGGGATTTTTACTAATTTTTAAAGAATTTTCTAATAGGTTTTCCTACTTTTGGACAATTTTTCTAATTTCGAGAATTTTGAAGATATCTCTTTCTTTTTCTTGGTCTCTTTTTCTCCTTCTTTTGGGTTAGAGAGAGGGGTATTTATAAGATTCAATTGGTGATTTTTCTTGATTTGTTTGAAATTTTTTGGAATTTTTTGGATTTATCTTGGAGTTTGAGCCTTATCTAATTCAAAAAAATGCTTTTACTGCATCATAAAATGTGTTGACTGCATCATCAGACCTCTTCTGCATCATCAAGTTGCATATGGGCCTTCCGGGCCATGTTATATCCCGGCCCGCGGCCCGACACTTGGATCTCACAGGGACTAAATTGTCATTTGTTATATCATTTCTGTAAGTCCGATTCAGCCGATTCTTGGACCGTTGGAAAGATCTTCGAATCTACTTCAAGTTGGGATAAAATTTAGATAGTTTTGAAGTAATTAAATTGGGTATAGGTTTCTTATGAACTACTAAGATTTATGTGGTCCTTTTAAGACGAGAATCGAGGTTTTTAGGAGTTCCCTTAGCCAGAATTTCAAGAGGGTGTCTACAATTGCCCCTCTTTGGCATTTACTTAGGGCACCAAGTGAATGGAAAAGAAGACACGGTGGGAATGAAAACCGTTTTTGAGGGATCATTCTTTTGAATGACTAGTACCATTTTGGGTAGGCAGTACGTCGGTGGATGCTTTTGATCCGTAAGACATCGAACTAACACTGTTATCTTTGAGTCAGTGTGATTAAGAGGTTTCTGACAATCGGGATCCAAAGTGATAGTGAACAAGAAACGTGCTGTCTTTGAGCCAGTGACACTCCTTGTTGTAGTCACTCCTATGCTACCTGAGAAGCTACCAGTGCAGTCAACTCGACTTTAGACCTCTTTCTTGGGGTCTGATTCTCCAATCGAATGGGATTTTGATTTAGAAGAAATAATGGGATGATGAATTTCTGGCTAAATGAACTTCTTGTTTGCCTTCGATTCTGATTCTTAGAGTCCACAGGTCTCGGATTTTTTAGTATGGGAACCTATGGGTTGGTCTCTGTTTTCCTAAGGGTTTGCAAGCATGGCAATCCAGGATTTGATGACGACGGACGCATCATATTCAAGCCTCCATGAAACTCCTTTGTTTTTTAAAACATTTTAGAAGGTTTTGAAGATAGATTGAATTTTGAAACAGAAACAGAGTTTCGGGCTATGTTTTAACCAAATAAATTAAGGTTTTTGAAAACTCACGAGACATATAGGGAAAATTTTGAAGACGAACGAGAAATTTTGAAAAATAAGTTTTGGTAAGCAGTTTAGGCTCGTGCTACCATGGAGCTCTCTCTCTCTCTCTCTCTCTCTCTCTCTCTCTC